TGAGCTCCCTCATTGCACTGCACACCTTCCCCGTGGGTGAGCTCCCTCATTGCACACCTTCCCCGTGGGTGAGCTCCCTCATTGCACTGCACACCTTCCCTGCACACCTTCCCCGTGGGTGAGCTCCTCATTGCACACCTTCCCCGTGGGTGAGCTCCTCATTGCACACCTTCCCTGTGGGTGAGCTCCCTCATTGCACTGCACACCTTGAGCTCCCTCATTGCACTGCACACCTTCCCCGTGGGTGAGCTCCCTCATTGCACTGCTCACCTTCCCCGTGGGTGAGCTCCCTCATTGCACTGCCCACCTTCCCTGTGGGTGAGCTCCCTCATTGCACTGCACACCTTCCCCGTGGGTGAGCTCCCTCATTGCACTGCCCACCTTCCCTGTGGGTGAGCTCCCTCATTGCACTGCACACCTTGAGCTGCCTCATTGCACTGCACACCTTCCCTGCGGGTGAGCTCCCTCATTGCACACCTTCCCTGCGGGTGAGCTCCCTCATTGCACACCTTCCCTGCGGGTGAGCTCCCTCATTGCACTGCACACCTTGAGCTCCCTCATTGCACTGCACACCTTCCCCGTGGGTGAGCTCCTTCATTGCACTGCACACCTTCCCTGTGGGTGAGCTCCTTCATTGCACACCTTCCCTGCCCACCTTCCCCGTGGGTGAGCTCCTTCATTGCACTGCACACCTTGAGCTCCCTCATTGCACTGCACACCTTCCCTGTGGGTGAGCTCCCTCATTGCACACCTTCCCCGTGGGTGAGCTCCTTCATTACACTGCACACCTTCCCCGTGGGTGAGCTCCTTCATTACACTGCACACCTTCCCCATGGGTGAGCTCCCTCATTTACACTGCACACTTTCCCTGCACACCTTCCCCGTGGGTGAGCTCCTTCATTGCCCAGCTTCCTTGTGGGTGAGCTCCTCATTGTACTGCACACCTTCCCCGTAGGTGAGCTCCCTCACTGCACACCTTCCCCGTGGGTGAGCTCCTTCATTACACTGCACACCTTGAGCTGCCTCATTACACTGCACACCTTCCCTGTGGGTGAGCTCCTTCATTGCACTGCACACCTTGAGCTCCCTCATTGCACTGCCCACCTTGAGCTCCCTCATTGCACTGCACACCTTCCCTGCACACCTTCCCCCTGGGTGAGCTCCCTCATTGCACACCTTCCCTGCACACCTTCCCCTTCGTGGGTGAGCTGCCTCCCTGTGAAAAACACCCATCACATGTTTTTAAAATTTTAGAAGTTTAATAGTAATAAAATGGTTATAAAAATAGTAATACAATTAGAGTAATAATCATTTGGACAATTTGAATTAGGACGATATGAGGGAATAAAGACAAAGAGTTACAGATGTCTGGGTACCTTTTCTGGGCAGCAGGAGCCCGAAAAAGGACCCAGTTAACAAAGGATTAACCCTTAAAATCAACAGCCTGTTGCATATTCATACACCTCATACATGATGCATAAATTCCATTCAAACACAGGATTCTGTCTGGTCATCATCAACTTCTTCCTTCTAATCCTAACAGTGCCTTCGAGGTGGGAAGAAGTTCGTTTCTTCTGATAAGAGGGCAATAAATTCTTCTTCTCTGAAAGATTTAGGTGTCCTGGGGCTGCTATCTGGTGCAAGTGTCTCATTCCTTTCTTAAAAACTCCCACTAACATAGTTCTTATTATTATTAAAATGTCAGTATAGCACTACTTATCAATACATCAAAATACATGTGGTAAATATCTGTGTAGAGCCATATAATGTGCACTTTTCACACTCCCTGCCCACCTTCCCCGTGGGTGAGCTGCCTCCCTGCACACCTGGCTGCTGTGACTGTGCCCTTGTCCAGGATTAGCACAGCAAGAGAGCCAGTGAGAGCTCTGGGGTATTAAAGTGCTCTGCACACTCATTTGTGTGCAGGCCTGAGCAATCCTCTTTTGGGAAATAGCTCTGTTTGCAAACAAGCAGCAACAGGTACAGAACAATTCACTGTTGAAGGGAGCCTAACTCCTAACCCTATTGAAGGGAATTGTAACTGCAATTTGGGTTGATTTTCTGATGCTGAATTGTTTGCATAATTGTTTAATGCCTTGTAATTAGGCCCTCCAAAATGTTTTAAAAATATTTTGCTTCACTTGTTTCAGAGGAGATGGCAGAGGTTTAAGGCTTTGAAGATTTTGTGAACATGCTTTCATAATGTCCATTAGCTCTCATTGCTTGTGCTGCTGGCAAAAGAGGAGAAAAGCAACTGAGGAATCAGTGTGGATGGGGTGATCAATGATCCAATTGTACCTGTGCAGGTCCCTCAGGAGAAGCTATCCAGATCCATCATCAGACCCGGCAGAACATGGCAGAAATGCAGGGCAGTGGGCAGCAGGATCTGACACATTCCTCTGCAGAGCTGCTGGAGCTGGCTTACCATGAGGCAACTGGCAGGTGAGCCATTCAATGCTGGGTTCAGGTCTGTAGATAACCAGCTAAGCTCTGTTTCTCTCCTGAGGGGGTGTGAGTAGCTGGTTCTTTGCTGTCCTGCCAAGGCAGTGCTTCGGTTACTGCTGGAGGCAAACAAACAGTGTGGACATGTATGGAATCTGTCAGGGCCTTCTCTGTGCTGCCCTTGTGCCGTTCCATCTCTGCCGACTCTGAGGGAAGAGTTTGCTCCCAGCCCGGGCTGGGCTGAGGCAGAGGGGCTGAGGGCTCGCTGTACCTTTGCTAAAAGCAGGGACGGCCCGAGTGAGGAAGGCTGTACAGAACAGGCGGCTTTGTTTCTCTGCAGACACGGCAGCTCTCGGCATCCGGGGGATGGCGGCTCCTTCCTGAGCTTCGGCGGGGCGGAGGAGTTCGGGAACGGGAACGGGCTGGGGGCCGGCCCCGGCGCAGGTAACGGGGCTGGGGCGGGGCCGGGCAGCGCTCGGGGATGGGGCAGCGCTCGGGAGGGGACAGGCACGGCCAAGCAGGAGGAATCCGCAGTGGGAAAACAGTGATCTGTCTGTTCGTGCACTTACTGGGACTGCTTGGTGTATGGTTGTTCTTTGGCTTGCTTTGTTGGCTTTAGATCAGTTTTGGTTATGTCTCTCTACTTCTCTAGGTGTGTCTTATAAGGGTGCTCATTGTTTCCTGATAATAAACTCTCAGAGCAGTGATGTTCAGACACAAAAAATACCTAAATATGCACTGGTGCTCAGAAGCCTTTTTTTTTGGTGGGGTTGCCTTAAGGTATTATCCTTTGGAGAGAGGATGTGTCTGTACTTTCAGTTCATGATTACCTCTATCTTCCTTAACTTCCCCAGACACCTGAATTAGTGAAAATTCTCAACATTTCTTTTCAGCTCTGTAAATGGAACAACATGCCATATTAAACATCCTGCTGTGTTGTCTGGTTTTTTTGTGACCTACCCTTTGCTTTTGTAGATATGCATTTTAGTTAGGCACATGGAAAAAAGTTGAACTTTTGGACTATGGCATTCAAACTTATTTTCTCAAAAATAATTTGACGTTCTTTTCTCAAAGCCAATTTAATGTGGTTTTTTTAAGAATAAATTTGCCCTTTTGAATTACATTAGATTAAAACAATTTTGTTTTCCATTATGCCTTGCAGAACCATAGAGAAGTTAGCAGACTTAATTTTCTTGTGCCTCATTTTGTATTCACATAGTAACATTTAAAATTATTTTCTGTTTCTTTCTTCTGTGAATTTCTTCTGATTACATTTCATTTTCTTGCTTTACCTTTTTGGTATTTTCTGGCTTCCAGATAGGCTCTGTTTGTTTTTGCAATTGCCAAACTGCATTTCAGCTGGCTGCAGTTTGCACAATGTAAATGCAGATCATGTCCTGGCAATAAAAAAAGCTTGCATTGATGGAATTTCTTTGTGTCTGTGGACCCTCACCTATCTATAGAGGCCACACTGGGTACTCAGTGATTGGACTGAGAGTTCTCCCTTATGGTTTGAGTCACCTATGAAATGAGGCACTCTGGGGGGCAGTTTTGTTTTTCTGGATTTCCATAAATGCGATTTCTTACTGAGTCTGGTTCTCCTGTGCTGCCTGCAGCATGGTTTGATGCATCACGGGCTTCATTCAGAGTGAAAAACGATCCCATCTATTTCCCATCTATTTCCCTGGGGCCGCTGTCGCTGCTGCCCGCAGGTGGAGGTGGTGGCTCAGAGGAGGAGGTGCTGCAGCTGCAGTTCCCGGTGTGGATGGCAGATGGCAGGAGGAGCTGGTGCGAGGTGAAGGCCACTCAGAGCCAGCTCCCCTGTGGGTTACTGGCATCATCAGCAGCAAATATCCACCCTTTCTCTTACAGGGGAACAGCAATGGGGCTGGTACCAATCTCCTGGGTAAATCCACCTGAGCTACTTTAAAACAATAGTTCCTTTTAAATGTTTGGAAATTTTTATTTTGATAAAAAGCTTTGAAGGCAGCAGTTTTTCTTGTCTCCTTAGCAACTCTTTTTCTCTCATGTGCCACACCACCTGTTTATAGGATCTTATATCTTCTACTTTTCAAAATGTTTCACTGTTTTTGGGGAGGAGAGTTTTGTTTGGGTTTTAGCTGTTGAGCACTTCAACAGCTAAAGATGTTCAAGTTTGATCCAAGATATATTTTTTCCTCATTAATTGCCTTAGTGTTTTTTTTTCTGCTGTGCAGAACCCTGGGATTTTCCATGCAGAGAAATTCTGTATCTTAAAACATCACACTTTTGATTTATTTTTATTTGAAATTCAAGAGAAGTGCGTAATTGCTTAAAATATAAACCATTTCTTTCTTGTAGGGGTGAGCCTCAAAACTCAGAACAAGGATTCCTTGGAAGATGCTGTCTCTAATTCTCCAGATCCAAGTAAGCAGGAGAAAGGTTTGGAAGAGAGTTTGCATAGGTGGGAAGATGGGAGGGAAAGGGCATGTACATATATAGAGGCATCAGGAGGTGGTAGGCAAGAAACTGAGGAGCCTCCTTGGCTTTTGGCAGAGGTTTATTTTGGCCTGCAGTAATTTGCAGGATCTGCCTCTGCTGTCTTCCTATGGTTGCAGTTCTGTAGTTCTTAAGAACATGTGAAGCTGTTTGTTGTGTTACAGCTGAAATTCTTTCCTTACCAGACACTATTCTGCAAAAAGCTAAAGCTGCTTTTTGAACTCTTTTCTGCCTCTCAGTATCAAAAGTTTGTTTGGTACCAGCTTGTTGAAGTAGAGTTAGTACAGTCAGTTTCTGAATTTACTGAGAAGTATCTGCCTTCATGTCCTGGAGAAACAAATGTGTCACTGCTGAAGAAAGCATTTTCTTTGCAGCAGTCTGTCATATATTACTTTCTTGTGCAGTGTTCCTGCCATTGGGGTTAACAGTTTGATAGTAAAATAAATTTCTGTCTGTAGGAGCTTTATGACAAGAAGTTAAGCATCAGTAGGTGATACAGATTATTTGAATTGGGTCAGAATGTAATGCAGTAGTGTGAATGGTCAGAATGTAATGAGCTGATGATTTGGTATAATCTAGTTAGCTTTTCCTTTTTAATGTCTAGTTTTACATCCCTGTAATCTCAAAACTGCAGCATAACTCTAGGAAAGGGTGTGGGAAAAGATTGCTTCCCAAGTTACTATTTTTCTGGTCTTCCCACCCCTCTGGATATATCTTCTGTTTTTATAACTGTGGAAATACTCCCTTTTCTGCTGTTGTACTATTCCAGAAAGAGGCTGGTCTGTCATTCTTTCTCTCCTCCTCTCCAGCTCCTTCTGCAGTTGTCTAGGATGCAGAACTGGTCTGATTTTCTTGTTCAGACTTGGAATGTTGATCTGTTTATTAATAATCAGTAACTGCACCTGACTTGCTGTAATTTTGGAAGAGCAGTGGCTATGTCAGCTCTAGCTTTCAATCAAGAGGAAATTAAATGTATTAACTTGGAATGCCTTTTGCATGATGGGATTGAATCAGCATGTGCACTGCATTGTTTAACAAACTCTGTCTCTTTCTCTCCCTCCCTTCTTCCCATCCTATTTTCTTTTTCCCTTCCCATTCCACACCCCTTTTTGTCCCTGTTGACTTTATGCCAACTGTTTTTTCGTCTCTCATTCTTTAACTCCCCTCTTCATGCACTCCTTCCATCCTGCTCTGCACCCCGTTTCTGCACGGGTGACCCCACGTGCCCCCCTTGTGTGCCCCCATGACACAACGAGGCAGTTCTGACGCTGTCTGCTCCCCCCATAGTGCCAGGCTTCTGTTGTACAGTTGGAGTGGACTGGAAGTCCCTGACCACCCCTGCCTGCCTGCCCCTCACCACCGATTACTTCCCCGACCGCCAGAGCCTGCAGAACGACTACACCGAGGGCTGCTACGACCTGCTGCCCGAGGCTGACATGGACAGGTTTGGCCAGACCTCCTCTGTACCTCCTGTGCTTCAGGAGGTGATGGAAGAGGATCAAAAGTTGTCTTGGTTTGGAAAGACAGGAGTCTGCTAAGGAAGGCAGGAGCCTCCCCTGAAATGGAGAATGTAAACCCTCCCCACCTCTCTGAATTGCTATAAATTTTAAATTAAGGGGCTCTCAGGCAGCAAAAATTATGGGAGCAGGAAATAACAGATCTTTAATAGGGAAGAAAAAAAAATAAAAGGATAAAATAAACAATGCAGTAAATGCAAACAACACTGACAGAATCAGAACACAACCTGATGCTGTTGGTCAGGGTGTTGGTAGCAGTCCAATTGGAATTGTGGCTGCAGTGCTCCTGCAGTGTCAGGGATGGTTCTGCTGGAGCAGGGATCCTGTAAAAAAGTGTGGAGTCTTCCTCTGATGATCCAGTGGAAGGAGAGGCAGCTGCTGTTCCTCTGGGAATCCCGTGGAGAAGCTGTGCTGGTGTCTCAAAACCTCTGGATTATATCTGGGTAGGAATGCTTGGCTCCTCCCTCTGGGCTCACATCTCCAATGGGATGCTGTAGTTCTTATCAGCCATGCAGGGACATTCCATAGCTGTTATCAGCAATGTCCCCTCCCAGGGAGGAATCATCCTGGTCACTCAGAGAGAGAAGGAAAACTGCCCACTTGGCAAAGGACAACTGCCATGCAGATGGCAATAGAATACATGTTGCCTTGCAATGTGGAACACAAGTGAATGATGGATTACTAACAGAGCAGCAGAATACTTACTTTTTTATTATTTTTTTTCCAGTGATAGCTTTGGACCTTTTCTGATGTTCCCACCTGACAGTATGGTGTGCTCCATAGATTTGATGTCAGAAATTGTTTGGATACAAATTTTTATGTCTCTTTTGTGTTGTGTTTTGATCAAAATATTCTACCTCAAGCTATCATCTCTGTTAATCTACCTCCTAGCAAGTGTTTTAGAAACACTAAAGGAGCAAATACATGTGGACACAGTATTAAGATGCTTATCCTCACTCTAAAGGATATTTAGTTTAAAAAATCTTGTTGGAAAACAGAATTAGTTGGATAAATGTAACTTCTCTTCTTGTCTCAGAGGTCTTGGGTAACAATTCTTTAACAGGGTTAGTTTGATTTTTACTGAAGCAGTCTCATTATCTTAATTTTTTTTCAATCTTTCCATAACTTGTAAGACATCAAAAGACCTGCCTGTGTTTCTGCTTCATGGGAGCAAAACCAAAGTATTAATCAGGGTGGTTGAAATACATAGGAAGTAATAGGATTAATGAAGAAACACCTGAAAGAAATGTCAGTAGGAAGGCAAAGTTCAGAGCAGGAGCTGCACTAAGATGAATGTGTTCTCCAACCCCTCCCTGCTCTCCACTTCCCACTGTGGGAGAGGCTGGACATTGCTGCCCACTGGCATTCTGAGCTCTCCTGAACAAGTACAGACTGCACTGAGGCTGCCTGCAAAGTGCTGGAAAAGTCATCTTTGGGCAATTTATTGTTCCACAACTGCTGTAGGCAAATTTGTTACTGGTTGCCAAACTGCTTTCCAAGGCAGCAGTAAATATTGCCAGCCAGCTCATAACCCTGTGTCAGAAGGTCCCCTTTTCCCTGCTGCTCCCAGGCACAGGGCTCCAGAGCAGAGCTAAGAATAGGTGTGTGATCAGCTCCTCATTCTGCTCTGCTTAACCTTTGTGTCCAGGAGGGATGAGGAAGGAGTGCAGATGACAGCCCAGCAGGTGTTTGAGGAGTTCATTTGCCAGCGCCTCATGCAGGGCTATCAGATCATTGTGCAGCCCAAGCCGCAGAAGCCGGCCCCGGCCGTGCCGCCCCCGCTCAGCAGCAGCCCCCTCTACAGCAGAGGTGAGTGACCTGGCCCTGGCAAGTCAGCCTTGGCTCTTCTGCCAGCCCAGGAACCTCCAATCGGGCACATCCACCAGTTGCTCAACTCTCTATGTTGGCTTTGGTGCTCTCTTTGTTGTTCTTTGGTGGTTCTGCCCAGGGAAGTTTTGAATGGGTGGCATAGGAATGCCAAGACCTCCTCTTTGCTTATGATATCAGCACATCTTAACTCTAAGAGCAAAGGCTGCTCCCTAAAAATGTGGCCTAAAAGCTGGGTTTTAGCTTGTGCTCAGATCAGAAGCTGACTTCTAGACTGCAGTTCTGGATTCTCATCCTATAGGCACAGGTTGTTGATAAAGTTCTGAGTACTGCAGTGTGGTGGTGTTCACAGGGGTCCCAGGATGAGGGAAGAGATGAGAATCTTGACTCTGTGTTTCAGAAGGCTGATTTATTATTTTATGATATATATTATATTAAAAGAAAATTATATACTAAAACTATACTGAAAGAAAGGATTTCATCAGAAGGCTTGAAAGGAATGGAAAGGAATTTGTGACTGGCCAGAGAGTCCAAGCCAGCTGACTGTGATTGGTCATTAATTAAAAACAACACATGAGACCAATCACAGATGCACCTGTTGCATTCCACAGCAGCAGATAATCAATGTTTACATTTTGCTCCTGAGGCCTCTCAGCTTCTCAGGAGAAAAGATCTTAGCAAAAGATTTTTCAGAAAATATGTCTGTGACACTGCAGTAAGCTGAAAGGGTTTTGCTTTTTACAAGCAGGTCTTGTGTCGAGAAATAGAGCTGAGGAAGAGGATCAGTACTGGCTGAGCATGGGCCGTACTTTCCACAAAGTCACCTTAAAGGACAAAATAATTACTGTCACTCGCTACCTGCCAAAGTGAGTATCTCTGCTGGAGCAGTTTGCTGCCAGTGTTCTGATGAACATTCTTCTCCTGCTCTGTGCTTGCTTGAAAGAACACCTTTCTTTTTAGGAGAAGAAAGAGAAGCATCAGTATCAATAATACTGAGAGTAATGCTTGTGTTTGATCTTTCAGATATCCATATGAATCTGCCCAGATAAACTACACCTACAGCTTGTGCCCCTCACACTCTGACTCTGAATTTGTCTCTTGCTGGGTAGAATTTTCCCATGAGAGACTAGAAGAGTACAAGTGGAATTACTTGGATCAGTATATCTGCTCTGCTGGCTCAGAGGATTTCAGGTGAGAGCTTCTTTTCCATCCAGACTGTTCTGTGTCCTAATTGCCTCTTTTTCTTTTTGACCTAAAATTTCATCATGCAGTTCAACCCACGAATGCTCAGTACTCCAGGGAGAATATCTGGCCTGCTTTCACTGTCAGCTTCCAGCAGCTGTTGCCTTGTGACAGCCTTGCTCTATGTTGCTGCTGCTTAATCTGACCTTTGATACAGACTCTTGATCTCAAAATTCAGCATGAACTTTTTTTCCTCTGCTAGAAATGCAAAGAAATAAGATAGCATTTTGTACCACACAGATACCAAGCTTTTCTTGGCTTCTTACTGATCTGACTCAAAACTTCCATTTATTTTGAAGCTGTTGCAGGTTTGCTTGAGTGCTGGGTTTGGCATGCAATCCTACTCCTAAGCTGTGGAGCAAGTGCTTCCCAGAAATGTGCAGTAACTCCACCAGTATCAATGGCTTTTTTGATATCTTCTCTCCACACAACCAGTCTTTATCATCTTTTCTTTTCAGGTCTCAGTCAAAATACCTCCTACGCTAATGTGCACCTTGAAAATTCCTTTTTGCTTGCATATTTATAGAGAAAAAGCTTTTGGGGCCTATCTTTTACAGAAAAGAGAGCATATCTCTGTGTGGCAATTACTGAGGATAGCCTTGTTGCCAGTGATATTCAAATTCTGACCATTCCTTTGCACGTGTGCTCGTTCTGTGCCAGGGATAGCAGCGAGGGTGATCACTGAAATGTGCAGCAGGTAGAAAGATTTATGCTTTAGATTCTGGAAAACCCTTCCCAGGAAGGCGCTGACCTGTCCTGCCTTCCCCATTGGCGCAGCCTGATCGAGTCGCTGAAGTTCTGGAGGACGCGGTTCCTGCTGCTGCCCGCCTGCATCAGCGCCACCAAGCGCATCATGGAGGGGGAGGCGCACTGCGACGTGTACGGCGACAAGCCCCGCTCGGACGAGGAGGAGTGGCAGCTCCTCGATGGCTTCATCCGCTTCGTGGAGGGCTTGAACCGCATCCGCCGCCGCCACCGCTCCGATCGAATGATCCGAGTGAGTCCCGCGGGGCTGGGCGTGCCCCGGGCCGCTCTGAGGCGTCAGCAGGGAGACACAGTGTGACCGTGTTCTCAGGGTCTGAGGGTGAGGGAAGAGATGAGGGTCTGACTCCATGTTTCAGAAGGCTTGATTTATTATTTTATGATAGATATTATATTAAAACTGTACTAAAAGAATAGAAGAAAGGATTTCATCAGAAGGCTGGCTAAGAATAGAATAGGAAGGAATAACAAAGGCTTGTGACTGACTGAGACAGTCCAGCCAGCTGACTGTGATTGGCCATTAATTAGAAACAGCCTCATGACACCAATCACAGATGCACCTGTTGCATTCCACAGCCGCAGATAACCATTGTTTACATTTTGTTCCTGAGGCCTCGCAGCTTCTCAGGAGAAAAAATCCTAAGGAAAGGATTTTTCAGAAAATATCATGGCCACACCCGAGTGCACCCTGGGCGGGTGGGGCACAGTGTCCCTGTCCCTGTCATCCATCCCTAAAGGACACTGCTGAGCCTGTGCTGTGTCAGCTTTCACACAGTGGGGCTTCATGTGCTCATTCTGCATCACTCAAGTGATGTTTTGGGAGAGGAAACAAAGCTGTTTCCTTCAACAGCTTGAGGAAATGTCCCTGGGATGAGCATCCTGTGCTGCTGTGACTGCACCCAGGATCAGGGCAGTTCTTGCTCAGGGACAAGCCAGGCTCTTCTGCACCATCTTGTCCTGCCACTGCTCTGTTTTATACCATGGCCAGTCTTTTGTTACTCAAGAGCCTGATGCCTCCTTTTGCAGGTGTGCTCTGCTTGGTGTGCAGGTGGGCTTAGCCTGGGTGCACCACTCTGCCTTGTGATGCAGACAGTTCATCCAGAGGGGTCTGAGGTAGTGTAGCTGGGCGCTTCTGGGGTAACCTGGATTGGTTCTGTGCTGCAGATTCTGGAGAGGGATTGGGAAAAGAGAAATATGTGAGTGATTTTTTTGGTAAACAGTTTCAAGAGGCTGATGAGAAACTGGCTAGTATGTATTCAATCCTGTTCCCATTCTCACAGCAAATGAGGTCATTCTCACAGCAAATTCACCTTTTCCATAGAATAACAGACATTTTATTTTCAGAATAACATCCACACAAGACACTTGGCTATTCCCCTTCTTGTGTACCAGAGGTTTGACTCCTTTTTTAAAATGTGCTTAGTAAAGCCCTGCTGACATGAGGTGTTGTGTTCTTGCTTACTAGTTAAGCCTAGCTTGACTAAGTCTGTGCTTCCATTTTTCCTTTGTTAGAAAGGGTCTGCCATGAAAGGCTTGCAGATTGCTGGTCCAATTCCCACTCACTCCCTGGAGCAGTCTGGACCTCCCATTGGGAAAAAAGGAACCTCAGCACTCTCAGCTCTGCTGCAGATGGAAGCCAGTCAGAAGTGAGTCTCTACAGGCTGTGTGAAGAGCCAAGAACATCCTTCCTGCATATTGCACCTGGGCTGGCTAAAGCACATTTGGGGAACCTTGCCTCGTGTGGTGTTAAATACATAAGAGATTAATATTTTTAATGCTATATTAGTATTATACATGCATAATAAAATGGAGTGCAAGGGTCCATGTTGTTTGTGAGGGTAAAAGTTACTTTTGGAATGTTGGATCTGTGCCTTAGTGTGTGGGAAAGCAAATATCTGAAAATACAGCAGTACCCCTCTGCAACAGTTGCCTCTGGGGGGAAGCTGACACAAAGTGTGTTTGAATAAACTCTGTATTCCTTCCTTGTCTTTTAGGACCCTGGGGGAGCAGCAAGCAGCAATGCTTTCTGGGAAGAGCTCTGGCCAGCCTTCAGAGAGTGGGAGCATTGCTATCACACCCACCTATATGGACAGCCCTCGCAAGGTAGGGACTCACTGCGCTTTCTTTGGCTGCTCTTTCTGCATAAGAATTCATCAAATAACCAAGGTTTATTTCTCTGAGCATTTGACTACATCATACCACATTTTACTCTAATCCAGCAAGGGCTGCTCCTGTGCTGCCCTTTGTGTGTGAGGGCAGAGGAATTCAGTTCTGCAGGAGTGACAATGGTGTGGAATCCCTGGGATGCTGGCTCAGCATTCTGCTGATCTAAGTGCTGTTTGCTAATTAGTGCATTTCCTTTGCTGGTAGCACATTTCATTTCAGTCATGGCTTGGCTGTTGGGTGTAGCAGTGCAGAGCTGTGTGCATCTGTGTGCAGGCTGCCTTGGAGAGCAGAATCAGCCTCTAGCTTGTGACAGTGTGAACGCTGAGTGGGATTTTAACAGCAGGAACTTGGGTCTCTTGCCTCTGTTTAGAGGAGGGGGTGTGTTCCTGAGAAGTGATTTAGGTGTCATTCCTTCACTGGCTGGACTCCAGGCTGGAGAAAGTGATCTTCCTGGAGCTCTCTTGAGGCACTTAAAGAAAAGACTGTGCTATCCCTCAGCCTTTCTGTCCACTGTCCTGTGAGACCCAGGAGAGCAGGAACTCTGCTTCCAAGTCCAACTAGAAATATTTGATTATTTTTCTGTGTTCTGATATGAAGGTCTTTCAAATGAAGTAACAAGGAATTGATAAAGAGTAGAGGACTTAAGTGTGACCTGTGTTTGGGTTCAGCAGTTCAAATATTGCAAAGGAGAAGTTCTCAATTCACCCCTATCAATCACTTCTTTCAGCATTTTTCTCTAAGCTAATGTTTCTACATCCACTGTTTTGTGCCACCACTAGGAACAAGTATTGTGTTATCCTGGAGACCTAGACATTGAAAGTTGAAGTGATAGAGCAACTGTGATCACCTTAGTTCTAGACACTTACTCATAGGATCAGTGTTTGGAGAGCACAGATGAGTCTGGAGCAGGATGTGCTAGGCCTGGGAACAGCAGGTGCTCAGACTGACTCAAGGTGTGTGTGCAAACTTCCACATCATAATTCAGGCTTTGCGTGCTTCTCTTCTACCGTTTTGAAAAATCAGCTTCTCTCTTTAAATACAGAAATCTTAAATGTCCTCTCTACCAGTAAAACTGGTGAAAATTCCATGTGAGAAACAGGAGAGAAGATGGATGTCCAGTTGTTGTGTGTGGCAGAGGGGGCAAGAGGCCAAGTGGGCTTCCCTAGAGTGGCACAGGAGTGTGCTGGGACCAAATCAGCAGATTTTGTGCTACCAGAAAATGTCATTGTTAAAAATAATGTTCAAAAGCCTCTCTGGAAGGCTGACTGGAGACTCTGGAAGAGTGTGTTATCAATTGAAGGCCTTTCATGCTGCAGCAGTAAACACTCCTGTAAATATTTACACACAGGGACTGGGAGATAAGCAGTTGCAATCTCCTAATTGATGGCTTATGCCTGTTGGAAAGATGCCAGTGGGCAGGCAGCATTGTGCTCACTTGGGAACAGCAGCCAGCGTGTGCCTGTGTCACAGCCCCTGCAGGGCTCCTCAGCACAGGGAGCTCTGCCTTTCCACACACTTGCAGCCAGACAAGTGACAAATTATCACAGCTGTGAGCTCTGCCAGCAGCCAAGGGAGCAAGTGCTTTTCTAGGATGCCCTTCAGTGCCTGAGTTATTCCAGATGAAAACTGAGCCACTGGCTTTGCATCACTTTGTTTCAGAGTAGAATTGACAAGTCACTTGAGCCAGTTACTGGGCAGCACTGTGGTTTTAACCCAGTGAGTTCACCCACTTGATTTAACCCAGTGAGGTTTAACCCACTTGATCTGTTTGGGAAGTGTTTGCCCTTATGGATCCAGGGCACTTGGCTCTGCACAATGTAAATTGCCAGGCAGGTAACCCTGGCACTGATTCTTCCCAGAAACTGTTTTATATGTATGTACCAAGGTAAGCATCATCTGAACTGCAGGCTAGACAAAAATATTTTGCCAAGGGAACAGAATAAAGAATTGCAAATAGGGAATGAAATCTAGATGAGTTCCACTACATTGTCTTGTGTGATAAGAGAGTCGTGACACATCTTTGAATAGCAGCTGGGGATAACTCACTGGGTTTGTCACTAGGCAGGAGCATAGCACAGGCAGTGGCTGTTTAATTTTGCATGAAGTATTAAACACCGTGTTGGAAGGATCTTTGTGATGAGTTTTTCTTCCCTTTCCTTTGCACCATACCAGACCTGCATGGTACAGGAAGAGGATGCTTCCTGAAAGGAGCTCCTTTGCCTCTCCCTCTTTATCATTTGAATGTCTACCAGATTAGAAAAAAACCCCCCGACCTTCTTTGGATATTTGTCATTACACCTGTGGTTTCTGTATTTCAGTTTTGTATTTGGGATGGAAGCCCCCATACTTCAGAGCTCAAGACTTTCTCCTTTGAAGTATGGAGGGAAGGCTGCAGCTTCAATTGGCTTCTGATCAGTGTGGGTTTAAAAATTTTGGGAATGCATCTGTGCCAAGGAAAAGCAATGTCTTGTTGCAGAGAGAAAGTAAAGATGTGTGTGTGAGGAATCCTGGTGCTGTGCATTCTGCTGCATCTGACCTTCTGGGTCTGGGATTTGCATTCTCCTCATACTTTCTCTCTGTGGTCATTTCATATTTGCACAACCTTTTATTTGCTTTTCTTGAACTCCTTGTTCCTGTTGCTGTTGCCATTAATGGGCCTGCTTCCTCTGATGCCTTCAGGATGGGGCCTTCTTTATGGACTTTGTTCGCAGCCCACGCACAGCTTCAACCTTCTACTCCCAGGTCAGTTTGGAATGGGTTCTTGTCATCTCTGGCTGTTGGATTGAGGTGATGGACAGCATTTGTGTCCTGAGCTGCACACACTGGGAACCTGTGTTGGTTTTCCATGAGAGTGAGATGTACAGCACGGCAGAACAAAGTGGCAGATGCAAGCATTATTTTTTCCCACCACTCGATGTTTGTGCTGTGTTTTGGATGTTCATGTGCCCTGTCTGCTGTCCTTTGCAGTACTGTCTTGTCAACTACTAAAGTTGCTTTTTCTGTTTTTCAGTAAATGCTTGTTTTCCATCTTCCTTCACTGAACAAAATGGCAACAGCTCACTTGTCTGGTTCTTGGCTAAATTTCTTCTGTGGTGTTTGACAGGTGATTCTGGAGATATCCAAGTCAAATTGTCTCCTTGGATTCCTGAACAACTGAGGCTGGAAATAGATAGTATCATCTTGGTTTAAAGGAGTCCTTGTGGCTGAAGTCATTTGTCCAGTTAACAGCAGTTGGGAATGAGCAGTGACACAGTGTGGCCATAGGAAATGCTGCTTGAAGTGAGCCCTGAGGAGGGAGAAAGGCTTTTACTGGCTGTGGGCACTGAGGGCTTGACCCTGGAGCATCTGCTGGTTTTGGCTGCCCAAAAGGGGACATCTGCCATTAGAGATTTTTGGGGTGTGAGAAATGGCATAAATAAAGGACTTTTGGCAGTCAGACCTAAGTCAAGCTCTCAGCTTTGTGATTTTTAGCTGTGTGTGTGCTGTGGATTCATCACAGCAGAGCAGCCCCCATGTTTATACCAGCTTGAGTTCGAGTTCCTCTGCCGTTCGTGTTCTCTCCCCCACCTCTCCAGCTTTTATATAATGTGCCTTTACTAAACCATACGTGTTAATGACAGATGGCAATTACAGCCTGTACTTAGCTGAATCCTTCAGCATTCATGCTCTTTCTGCAACGATTTTATGGTAATTTTGTGAACTATTCAGTCTACCATTGGAATAGTGTGAGTGTTCCTGCGGGAGGAAAGTGTTCCTGTTGTCTTGGCGACATAGGTGTGGGTGGGTGTCAAGCAGCCTTCTCATACTGCCCTGAGAAAGGAGGGGAGATGAGCTGGGGTTTTTTTTGAGCATTATGAAACTTGAATTCGTGTGATACATTTGCATATTTTTGAGAGTTAGACTTGAAACTGTGTTTGCTCAATGCTTACTACCTTCCCATAGTGATCAAGTGTCCTGTTGTGTACTTATAATCATACTAATCCCCTTGGGTTGAGAATGTCAGGTTTGGACTGGTGTTGCTGGTTTGCCAGTAGTTCTCTCAGTGCAATTATTGCTGGCTTGGTGATCCTCATCTTTATTTGGGTCTGAATTTGTTGTTTGTCAGGAGCTCTGTGGTGATGACAGAGTAAGAGTGCATTTATCCCTTTTGCATATGCCTGTGCTTCCTCAGAGCATTGCTTGTTGTTGACTAACTTGGGCTGAGGCACGGATGGTGCAGGGAGGGGAGAAGATGGGAAATGGATTGCATGATGGATTTCACAGAGATGTTGCTGTGTTTGCTCCTCCCAGGTCTCTATTGATCAATCAGTTCCTGCAGCCTCAGATGGCAGCGCCTTGCTCCCCACAGGGCAGGTCCCGGACAGGGGCAGCGCCCAGGGGAGCGCCCAGAGCGCTGCAGAGCCAGGATCCAGCACGGCTGCTGCTGCAGAGGGCAGGTAGGAGAGGCACAGCAGGGCAGTGCTGCAGAGCTGTGCAATCCCAGCCCCTTGCTCAGGGGAATGGGCACTGAAGCAGGAGCAGGGAACAGGCTGTGCTGTGCCTGTCAGCACGGGCGGGCACTTGTCACAAGACCTTACTGCAGCATTTCCACGTGCAGACACAGTGCTAGTAAAATAAGCCCTGCAACCCAGTTTTCCAGAATTAAATGAGCACAAGGCCTGATTTTTTCCACCCACAAGAAGGGCTTCATTCTTCCAAAAATGAAGAAATTCCATTTCTGAAATTTGCTAGTAGGAAACCAGGCCTTGAATTGACATCTTGTCTGTTTTGGCAAGGGGTGGGGGGGCTGCAGTTCTATTTGGGATTGAGTAGGTTGATGAAATCCAAGAGGTTCTAACCTGGAAGCAAGACACCAGGGAGGAAGCAATGTTGAAAATAAACTTTATTAGCACTGTTTCCTGTGGTTGTATATTACAGCAGTAAAAAAAAATAATTAGCCAACTTCAAAATGCTTGCTCTCAATTGCTGCTGAGTACAGCTGGATGTGACACAGTGCATTGGGTGCATATAGCAATGTCCTGGTGACCTCAGGGGGGAAATACTCATCTGATGCTTTTAGTTGTGCTTGAGATAAAAAAGGAAATAAATGTGGCAAAGGCATTGTTGAGAAGAGAGAGCAATTTTCTTATATGTACATATTTGAACAAATCTAGCAGCTTCCTTGATTTCTGAATGTGCTTCTGTTTACTGCCCAGCTCTCAGCAGTGTTCAACAAGTGCTCTGACTTCCTCCTCCACTTTGGTAGAGATTCTTGAAGCCATGAAACACCCCACGTAAGTTTTTAATGCAAATGTGCTTCACATGTGGTGAGATGTTTAATAAGAGGACATGAGAAGTGGAGTCACTCAAAGGAGAGCCCATGTCAGCTGTTGAAGAGTTTTCAAACAATAACAAAACTTCCTTTTGTTATTCAGTTCCAGACTCTCTAATAAGAAATTTTATAGAAATTGATATGAGCAAAGACTTCAATTATTAGAGTCCCAGAACCTTGTCAAATCAAGAATTCCCAGTAAGTCACCAAAGTGCTGTCAATGGCAGCTCTTCATCTTGTTACCAAAATGAGACATCACTCCAGGGGCACTGTGCATTTCTTGTCCTGTGTTCTACCCTCCCTCTCCCTTTTTTCCTTCCCCCAGCAGTGATTTTTGTCTTTGTTACCTAAAAGAGCTCTCACATGTGTGACTTGTGCTCCAGCACAGGGATCCAGCTGCTCTCTGAACAGAAGGGGCTCTCCCCCTACTGCTTCATCAGTGCAGAAGTTGTGCACTGGCTGGTGAATAACGTGGAAGGGGTGCACACCCAGGCCATGGCCATTGACATCATGCAGGTAAGGAAATCCCCAGGAGCATAGGGAGGGCCAGAAATGCCTCACTCTGGGAAGAAAGTAAAGCTTCAGAGCAAATTATAGCAATAATTTCTGTTACTTATTGAAATCCTCTTATGGATGAGCGTTGCAAGCAGTGCTCACATATTCTTCACTAGTACTACATGCTTTTTTCTACTTAAATGATGATAGTTCTGTTTATAACCTCTGGTTAGCTGGCACTTACCAGGTGCTCTGCATTGTGTTGGAATGGAGGCACTGGGCTGTTATTTGGTTTTCCTGTCTGATAATTAGTTAATAAAGTTGTAATAAAACCAGCATATGACCTTTCAGATCTGAAGCAGACACACTTTATGCAGGAACACTGCTTGTATTCATCAAGGGATTTTTCTGTATTGAACTGTGTCAGGGGCACAAGGTTGGAAATGCTCTGGAGTTCATTCCTCTGCTGAGATCCCATATCAATTAACAGAGAACTTAGAATGCTTCCAAACTCTTACCTTCTATAAATCCATCTATAAAACCAGAGCAGGGTATGAGAGAAAGACAGACATCTGTAGAAAGGTCAAATGTAATTTCTCAGGGAGATAAGAAATTGCTACATTTATTGAATATGAAGAGATAACTTTGCTGGTATTCTTGTTAGGCACATATCTGGATAAAAAGATGCCAAGGAAAAGAAAATTACTTCCTAATGTTCTCTAGCAACCTTTTTATGTAATTGGAAGAGTGATTTCTTTATCATCATGTTTGCTCTGTACTTTCTTTTTCTTATTCAGAAAATGTTAGAAGAGCAGCTTATTGTCCATGCATCTGGAGAAGCTTTACGAACCTTTATTTATGGCTTTTATTTTTACAAGATTGTTGTGGACAAAGAACCAGACCGAGGTCAGCATTGTTTTTACAAGACTTTCCTTACTATCCCTTTGCATAATCACTGGGCTGTTCTTGATTCTTAGGGGTGCTGCAGCAGGAATGCATTTTGGGAGTGACCAAAACCACTGATCCCAAGAGTCTGAGAGATTTGGCCTTTTTGGTTAAGGGGAAAAAAAAAGGAATAGCAGAAAACATAAAGTAATTTTTATCCTGCCTATTTTTCATCAAGAGCTTCTTTTCTGTCTGAGCCTTGTCCACTCGTGTGGTGGTGTTCACAAGGGAAGAGATGAGAATCTTGACTCCGTGTTCCAGAGGGCTGAGTTATTATTATATGATATATATTATATTAAAAGAAAATGATATATTAAAACTATTCTGAAAGAATAGAAGAAAGGATTTCATCAGAAGGCTTGCAAAGGAATAGAAAGGAATGGAATGATAATAAAATCTTGTGACTCTCAGAGCCCGAGCCAGCTGACTGTGATTGGCCATTAATTAAAAACAACCACATGAGACCAATCAAAGATGCACCTGTTACATTCCACAGCAGCAGGTAATAATTGTTTACATTTCATTTCTGAGGCCTCTCAGCTTCTCGGGAGAAAAATATCCTAGCAAAAGGATTTTTCATAAAATGTATCCGTGACACACTTGTTTCTAACCGACCTCCCTTCCTCCTTGTGCAGTGGGGCTGCAACAGCCTGCCATGTGGCACACAGCTGCCATGGATGACTTCTCAGCCTTCCAGAGGAAATGGTTTGAGGTGGCCTTCGTGGCAGAAGAGCTGCTGCACTCGGAGATCCCGGCGTTCCTGCTGCCCTGGCTGCCCAGCCGCCCCGCCTCCTATGCAAGTAGGCACAGTTCCTTTAGCCGCAGTTTCGGAGGACGGAGCCAGGCAGCTGCACTCTTAGGTAGATGCACAGCACAGGTGACAGCTGGGGAAGTTCAAGGGGATATTTGAAAGGGGAAGAGCAGCCAGCCAAGGGGATGATCTCACGTGGACCAGCAATCAAGCTGCAAATTTCATGCTGGCCTTACAGTGTCTTGCATGTGGACTCGCTCTCATGTGCTGGAGGTGTGTTTCACTGGCTGGGCAGGAAACTTTTACTTTTTATTGTATTCCAGTACTCTAAAGTATTTCTTAAAATGTTCCTTCTTCCTGAACCTCTAGAACTCAGGGAGGAAGGTACTTTGTCTCCTTGCAAATCCAGAGAGACTGTTCACAACCTGTAAGGAGTATGGAGGGATAGGCTGTGAGAACAGCAAAGCAACCAAACTGTTCTTAAAATTACGTATCTAATTGCTTCCTAGGGGCAAAAGCCACAGTGAGGTCCAGATGTGTTAGAAGTTTCTGTGATGTGCTGGAGGCTTTCTAGCTAATCTGACCCAGACTGCTTGCGTTAATGAGTCTGTGAAGCCCAGCTGCAGATGATCCCTGTGCTCTGGAAGCAGTAGGAAGATCTTGCTGCTGGGCAAGGTCCCGTTAGTGTCTGATGTTCTCTGAGGTGTGGAGGGTAACCCTGACTGCTCCAACAGCCCATGAAACACACTGGCTGCGTGACTGACCCTGTTGCTTTGTCAGCTTCTTGTTACATTTCCAGGCCAGCCTGAGTCACTTGCTTTGTTCTCCTTTCCTTGTTTAAAACAAAAATCATTGCTCTGGAACTGCAGCTTCAGGTTTATTTAGATGCATCTGTTAAAGGCCTAGCAATTAAAGATAAAAAGAAACATTTTGCTTTTCTCCTGTTGAGTATATTTAACCTTCTGAAGAGAAATGCCTTACTGCAGGTGTAGTATCTCTTAAACCTGAAGTCACAGTAATCCTTGTGTATTTCTGAGAGCCTTGTTTGAAGAGGAACAGCATCAGAAATCTGAAAGCATTAAGGATATGAAGTCTGAACTAATGGTTAATTCCCTGAAGTCAACATATGCAGGTTATTTTCCCTGTCACATGATAAATCTGTTGCCTTGGCTGGTGTCCAGCCTCGTTAGCTCAGTGGCTGGCTAGAGCTGAAGCCTGAACTGGCTGGCATGGAATATTGTGGAGGCTGGAGGCACTGGGGCCAGATCCTCTTCATGGTTTGATCTCTTACTCACTATTTAGCCTGAGAAAACCAGTTCACGTTCCTGTGTCTGTGCTCTCTTGTGAGCTGACAAGCCTGAGGCTCAGCAGCCTGCACCCCTGGGGATGAGCAGAGATGTTACCAAGTGTCCCCCTCACCTCTCATTTAACACCAGCCAGGAGCAGTGTATTCCTGCAGCATGTGGGTATTGCACACCTGAGTAGCTCTCCTTTTCCTTTCAGCTGGGATTATATCCATTTTACTATTGAACTCATTTACAGCCCTTGAATGAGTGATAAATGCCTTCAGATTGCTCTCATGCAGTCTGGGTTTTCCAGGAATTATAGTTTGTTGTAGAAAAATTGAGCTTGGAGGTTTTTTTTACAAAGGAACTGGTTTAAATGATGCTTCTGTGCTGTCCCTCTTCTAAACAGTATTCCAAAAAAACTTCAGCAGTTCATCTGAGGTAAAGAGCTTTACTAAACCCAGATGACCCCTGGTCCACGTGACTTCATTTGTTCCTCTCTTGGTCTTGATTAGGTTGTGGTTTTTATTTCTTCCCCTCCCCACCTTCCCTAAATGTCAGGCTGTGACATAAAATTGCATGCAAGCATTGGGAGCTCTGGAACAAGCTCCATGTATCTCTCAAATCTTTATCCCTCCCAACTTCCCAATCACTGCCCAGTGACTGTCCCCTTTCCCTCCCCAGTGGAAGTGTGACCTGTGACACAGCTAATCTTGTCCCTTTGATTTGTAGCAGTGCATGCACTAGCAACTGTAGTCATGTATGTAGTGGAGTCTGTGACTGGAGAATAACCTGCCTGCTCCTCTCCGATTGCTTAGTAAATCCTTAGTTAAATACTCAATAGTAGAAGACAATTGGGAAGCAGGTGAGTCCTCTTAAAGTCTGACCTATGGAAGCCAGAGTATCTTCTATTAAAACAAGCTGGTTTTAATCAGAAGCTTCTGAATTCAGACACATGGGCATTTCTCCTCAGTGTTTAATGTATTTTTGATGAGCTCACCTTGTTGGAGTGGTTTCCTCTGGCTTTGCCTGTGAGCTGCAGCTGCAGACAAGGCAGAGGGACAGTCCAGCCCTACCAGGGAGTCTGCACAAGCAGACTCTGGGAAAAGCAACAGTGTAAGGGAGCAGGGAGCTCATTCTTCACAGTGTGCTGCTCTGGGCACGCTGGGCTGTGGTGTTATCACTGACCTCTTGGCTAATGACCAACACCCACCTGACTGAGCTGCTTTGGTTTTGCAGCTTCCAGGATGTTGTTTCCCAACACATTGTTACAAATTTGGCACCATAACCTCCTGACCACAAATATGGTATTCACAATATCCCAAAAGAGCCAGAAAAAGCAACTCACAGTGTTGGTCTGACAATACCAGATCAACTCAGAAATTGCAAATGACATATTTCCCAAAGACAAAAATGGGTCTTATTTATGAAACAAAACTGGGTGATGTTCTTTCATTTTTGGTGTGTTTTTATTTTTCATGTTCTATGCTGCAGTAATAGCAATATAAAGGGTTTTCTTATAACCTTGAAAGTGCCTCCAGGTAACTTGCAGTAGCAGTGAAGGTGGGAACTTTCCATCTACCTTGAGGAAGGATTTCAGTTTTTTTTTTTAAGTACCATCAAGCCATCAAATTATAAGTTAATTTAGAAGCTGACCCTATCAAGGGGTGCACATCTACTTCAGCAAGAGATAACACACATCCCTCATGCATGCTGTGATAAGAAGGGCAGAAGTTTTCCCATGGAAGCCTTGCAGCCCATTGTTTTCTGTCAATTTTTAACATTACAGAAATGTTAAATTATGTATTTGTCTAAAGAGAAGTTGAAGGTGAGGGTGTGTTTCAAAGCAGGACTTTGGCCTCCAAGTCAGGAGATGTGGGTTCTGTCCCCAGCCTTGCAGTCCTGTGTGTGGCACCAGCCAGGTCACTTCCACTGCTGTGCTTCTCTCCCTGTCCTGCCTGGTTCCTGAGGGTTTCTGTCACCGGAGGGGTGCTGGGCTGTGGGGCACAAAGGGAGCTGCATCCTGGGCACTATCCCAGCCCTCACTGCAAAGCACCAGGAGCTGTTGCAGTGGTCAGAATGCTGCTGCATGTCTTGGCTGACTCTGTGCTTTTACACAAAGTGTTGGATGTGCACTTTCAGCATTGTGGTAATGTGGGATATTGATACGGGATTAAAGAAACAAGGAGTTTTAACTTCTAATCTCCTTTAGCTGTGGAAAGTCCTGGAATGCTCCTGCCCCATTGTGTAACAGCACCCTGTTGTGATTTCTGGTGGAGGCATATAGAAATATTTGGAATGTTTTCGGCATGAAGAAGCTGGTGTTGTCTAGCCATGCATAATTATGGCACCAGTTGCTTGTTGATTAACTGCTGGGTTCTTGGTTCTCTCTCCTTACTGCAGCTGAAATGTCTTTTGACTGCCTGGGGGGGCTGATTCTGTAGCACATCCCCCTGACATGAGAAATACTTCAGGATTTTTGTCCTTTGTCACCTGGATGAGCCGCATTCTAGGACTTTTCTGCCAGCCCAAAAATACCTGGGGAGGAATGGGAGGACAAATTCATTTCAAATGACTGATCTTGGTTCTGTTCTCCCCATCCCATCTGCCACCTTCTCTCTGATGGCCCTTGTGGGCGCTGCTGTGCCCCGGCTGCGCAGCTGCCACGGTGCCCGAGCAGCGCACGGTGACGCTGGATGTGGATGTGAACAACCGCACGGACCGCCTGGAGTGGTGCAGCTGTTACTACCATGGCAACTTCTCCCTCAACGCTGCCTTTGAGATCAAGTTACACTGGATGGCAGTGACTGCAGCTGTTCTTTTTGAGATGGTGAGATCCTGGTGTTCTGGGCAGCCACAAAGTGCCTGTCTGGCCTCTGTGTCCCTTGGACAGCTGGGGACGTTGTGTTAGGGAGTCTTAGGGACAGAGACAGTGGCTTCCATCTGCCTTTATTTCCATAGGTGATTTTCCTGGTGGTTGTTAGTGTTGCTGCATCTGGTCAGCATTTATCACACCAGCTCTAGTCATTCTGTCTGCCTGAGTGTGTTCTGCTTTCAGTGGGTTTTATGCACACTGTGCAGAGATCAACACAGGTCAAGGTGATAAATTTAAGTCCCCCTTAGGCAAATTTTAAGCCCTGAGCCAGGTCTTTGGAAAAAAATCTGTTTCACGTTACATTCCTTCTATCCGCAAACCTTAAAACTTTAAATCTCAGTGGAATTGCTTTCATAACAGGGCTTTTCCAGGCAATGTGTTTTTCCTGCTCAGGAATGTTTTAGGGTTTTTTTAACTTGCTGAAAACATTTTGAAATGAAAACATGTCAGTTTTTAATTTTTAAATTAAATTTTTAGATTTCATTTTTAGATTCTTTTTCCCTAATGTAGCTTCTGTAAAACTCAAACTGTTTAACTCCAGGCTTTACCCCACCCAGCCAGACAGCACTAGGTAGTCGGTTTTGCTTTTATTTGAAATCAATTGCACTGTTCCAGTAAAGCAGAAGTATTTAGCCACTGGTGATAAGTAGGCTGAATCAGTTCCTGAAAAATGTCCTATTTTAAAGTGCTTTCTGATTGATGAGCACTTCAGAAAAAGGAAAGCCTGATGCCTTGTGCTTGTACTGCTTTGCTTGCAAGGACGTTGGTGTGCCTGCCATGCCGAGCAGGCTGAGCCTGGAGAATTGAGCATGTCTGATCTATTCCTGGGGAATGAGTTGCTCTTATGCACAGAAGTGCCCTTCGTCAGCTGGCATGTGTGCTATGATTCATTGTGTGAATCTCTGCTCAGGTTCAGGGCTGGCACAGGAAGGCCACCTCCTGTGGGTTCCTGCTGGTCCCAGTGCTGGAAGGTCCCTTTGCCCTGCCCAGTTACCTGTACGGGGACCCACTCCGAGCTCAGCTCTTCATCCCCCTCAACGTGAGCTGCTTGCTGAAGGAGGGCAGTGAGCACTTGTTTGATGGTAAGAAATGCACTTTCTTTTACCCCTCAGGGTTCTTTGTGCAAACAGGTCACTGTTGGTGCAGAACTGACATAAAGGAGCTCCTTTAGCAGCCAGCCTTAGGTAAAGGAGCTGTTTTTGCAGGTCAGCAGCCCCTCAGGAAGGAGGTGCTGGAGGAAGCTGTGCTGGCAGGCTGATTGTGGGCAGCGGGAAGCACCAGCACACAGGAAGGGTGGTCTCCCCAGTGGTGCTTACCCTGTGCCCTTTCAGACCCATATCCAGTAGCTGTTGTGTTTGACAGACTCGTGTCTGTTTTACTGGTAGACCCACGGCTGCTCTGCATTTGTATCCTGCATTTGTTTATTCTCCCCCTCCCTAAGATTGGGCTTTCACCACTGCCATCCTTCTTTTGTTGTTGCTATGGTTACTTTAATGGTTACAGTGTTTGCACACGAGATTAAGCAGAGAAGCTGCAATCTCCTTTTCTGCAATGTGACCTCGCCCTTTCCAGTGAGCGTGCTGTGGTAAACCTCAGGTGGAACCACAAGATCAGAGACCTGTCCCATGCAGAGAAGGGCAAAACTGCATCATGAGGAGGGGCAATTAGCAAAAGGCTCTGTTTTAACATAGTAAATTTGATATTTTCATCAACCCTTGACTCAGTGTCCAGGTGTAACTGAACAATGAGTGTGACAAATCCATATGCTCTGAGGCCACCATAGCCCAGCTGACTGAATTAAATATTTTCAGAGCACTCTTGTGACACACAGCAGCCCACTCTTCTTCCTTGCCCCCTCCCATACCCCCCCTTTATGTTCCTCTCCCTCATCTCAAGAGGCACAAATAATAAATTCAGATAGGAGTCTGCTACTGGCATGCACAAGACACGTCTCTAAGAAACACCTGACAAAAAAGTGTGACTGAAAGGGGGACAAAAAAGAGTAAACTGAGGCCTCCTGGAACAAACCTAAGTCTTTAAAAGGAAGGAAATAAAGTAGATTTACTAGATACTTGTGACTTTTCTATTTGTTTCAGGCTTTGAACCAGAAACATACTGGGACAGAATGCATCTTCTCCAGGAAGCAATAGCACACAGGTATTTCTGCAGTGGAGTGGGGTGACCCAGCAGTTCCTGCCTCCCTGGACAGTGTGGGATGAAGGCCTGTGCTGAACAGTCACTCCTGAGTCACTGGGGCTCTGTGCTGTCTGCCTCTCTGAATTCTGCTTACAGACAGACTCAAATACAGCCTGCATGCCCCCAGTGGTTCTGTGGGTGCCAGGGCCAGCTGTGGGGTGTTTCAGCCTGGCACTCCTTGGGAACCATACTGTCCTCCTAGCGAGAGCCTTGCCTTTGGAAAGTGCCTGTTATTCCAAGTTAGGAGCAGAAAGGCTGTAAATAGATTCTTCCTGAGAAGGAACAGTTATTTCCTTCTTGTGTACTTAGCATAGTCTTGAGCTGGATGACACCTGGTGATTGACAATAGGCAGGAGACTGGGGTGGGAGCTGTGCAGGGGAGGTTGGACCAAGTTTAAGGAGTTGTTGGAAGATTTGGATACTATCTAGCCTTATCCTTTTGTGTGATTGAGCTGCCAGTTTCTTTCATGGTGTAGATGCTGGGTTTTTTTTCATGACAGAGAGGGCTGCCTTTTGTAATGGACTTTAGCTTGGAAATCAGCTTTCATTAGTTTAGAAAGCAGGAGAAGAACAGGTATCCTGCAAACAGCAGGGAGCTGCCAGGTAAGCTGCTTGAAGTTCTGCATGGAACATTGCACATGATGAAAATAATAATGTTGCAGCTTGAAACATGCCCAGGGAATATCTCTCTTGACTATTTCTCTTCCCTCTCTCATGTGCAGCTGCCCCATTTTGTCAGAGACTGCATGGAGCTGCTGCTCTTGTTTCCAGCTCGAGTTGGGACAGGGAGCAGTGTGGGGTCACAGGCTTTCACACTGTGTCTGGCAGGGGCAGGGAATATTTGGAGAGGCTCAGCTCTCTTCATCCCTTTTCCTTTTGCCTTCAGGCCATGAGAAAGGGATAGTGGAAGGATTTCCTCTGATGCCCCTGCCTTTGGCTGAGGAATTCTACCTAGAGTGGCTCCTTTTATCTTTTTGTTTTCTTTTCTTTTTTAATTCCCCTTGTCTCTATTTCTTCAGATTTGGATTTGTACAAGATAAATACTCAGCCTCTGCATTCAACTTCCCAGCAGAAAACAAGCCCCAGTATATCCATGTCACAGGTGAGCAATATCTGGGAGGCTCTGTGGCAAGGAGGAGGTTATTACAAACAAGAGAACCATTTTTCATGTGGTTTGTGTTTTGTGCCAGTGATGTTGGTGCTGTTCTGTCCCTAACCAGATGACAAGTAGGTGTGTCAGAAAACACAAACCAGAAAACTGGAGGGGGCAGTATGAAAAGCACAAAGTGTTGCTGCTAATAAATGGTGTTGGTTTGAAATGCTGCTTTACAGGGGCTCTGAAACTTTTCTTTCCAGAAGATGAAGAAATTTTTAAAAATAAGGCAAAGCTTATTCCAAGGTCAATGTAAATAAATGTGTACCCAGAAGCAAGAAGGAGGGAAAGGTGTTGGGACAAGTCAGTGCTCTGTTCTCGTGTCAGTGCTCTGTTTTCATGCCTAAGGTCTGTTGTAGATGCATCTCTACCCATACACACTGTGTGGGAGACACATCAGGCTTTTAGGGTCTGCTTGCTGAGATGTGGGAACAATGACAGGAAGGCAGTGTTTGGAAAATTGCAGAAGAGAATGGAAATGGATGGGAAGCTAGCAAGATGGATCAGAGCCTCCATCTTTGCTTCGTTCTGTGCTTGTAAGAGAAAGGCAGACAAGGTGCACTCCCTCCTGGTGCTGTAACATACAGGAAGAAGTAGCACCTAAGGGCCAAGGGGAAAAGTGTATCCCATTTTCTCTTGCTGAAAGACAATTAACTGAAACTCAGGCCAGTTTCATTTTGGAATTTAACAATCAGCTACAGGGCTTTAGCTCTGCCTCAGACTGAAGCGCTGCCTGTTTCCTGCAGGGACAGTGTTTTTGCAGCTGCCCTATTCCAAGAGGAAGTTTTCCAGCGGGCAGCAGCGGCGCCGGCGCAACTCCACGAGCTCCAGCAGCCAGAGCCTGTTCTGTGAGGAGCGCATCGGCTACAACTGGGCCTACAACACCATGCTGACCAAAACCTGGCGCTCCAGCGCCACCGGCGACGAGAAGTTCGCGGACCGGCTGCTGAAGGACTTCACAGACTTCTGCTGGAACAAGGACAGCCGGCTCGTGACCTTCTGGACTGACTGCCTGGACAAGATGCATGCCAGTGCCCCCTGAGTGGGGCTCCCTCTCTTAGGGAGACAGCTAGAAGCTTTACCTTGTGGCAAGGAAGTAGAAGTGAAGTAGAAGTCTCTCTGTTGGATTCATATTGAGGCTCCAAGAGGACCTGAGTGATATTGCTGTTGATATTCAACAGAATTTGATTAAGTGCTCGAAAAAAAAAGAATTTGAGCTATTGGCTTGCCGGTATCTATCACCTGTCCTTAGCTTGGTTTTAAGTAGCTACAGTCCTTGGTTGCCAAAACTTCAGTTAGAGCAGAGGTAAGGAAAGGAGAGTGCAAATGGTTTTCAAGGGCAGTTGGATTCAGCACAGTGTGATGGTATCAGCTTCCAGTCCCTGGAAACGGTTGGTGCCAGTTGGCATCTGGTGTGCCTGGCAACAGTCTGTCTCTTCCCCTTCCAAGGTGTACCTGATTGTGTGAATATGTAAGATAAGATATGAGAGATCCTTGTTAAATTTTCATACATGTAAATAAGTAAAATGCAGAAAATAAAGTGACCTGATGTTTTGTTGTAACTCCACAGACAGCAATACAAAATTGGTGAGTAAAAGAAAACAATTGCCAAAAGAAAATAGCTTTCTATGTTCAGCTCAAAATTCTGTGCTGGGGCTTTGTCTTGTAATAATGCGGGATTTTCTGTCTTCATGTCTGGATCTGGAACAGTGTCACACAGCAAGAGCAGGAAGCCAGTTCCTGTCTTTCAAGGCCAGCACCAAAGCCTAAGGAGAAATCAAGGGCCACTGAGCACAGGTTGCTGCCGAGGGTTATGGGCAGGTTTTACAATGTGTCTGCATGCAGCAGAGGAAGCTGCCTGCACTCAAGCGTGGAGCCTTTGTCTTTGCAGGGTGCTGGCACCAGCTGGTTGTTGGAGTGCAGGTTTAGGGTGGCTCACAGCCGGCACCCAGCCTCTGTGCCCGGGGGCTGTTGGCTGCTGCTGATGGTCCCTCATTGTTCCATAGCCTCGGGAAACTGGACTGAGGGAGGACTGACACCTTCACAGTGGTATTCAGATCTGATTCAAGGCAAATCGTAGCTGCTTCAGTTTTTTATCCCTTAAACTGAGTCAGGATGATTCATCTGTTTTTAGACAGCACCCACCTATAGAAGGTGGGTTTGAGCTGCGTGTCTCTTCATTCAGTCGCTGTAAGTGTGTCACAATTATCAGTGCTTGTCTGATCCCCATTAGCGACTCAAAAATACTCTACTATGGGGAGAACTCGCTGCCATCTATTCTGTACCGTTCCCCATCCGCTGTGCGCCCCGGCAGCGCCGTGCGGGCTGGGGGTGGGGTTCGG